ATGGGACAGTCATCATTGGGTAGTTGGGATATGAGGCAACATGGGGAGCCGGTGTAGCAGTGGGACCATGGCCACTGTGCTGAGGGGAAAATGCAGGGGGCATGGTTATCTGTACATCTGGCTGCAACACTGGAGGGGCTGTAGTTATAGGGCTGTGGTTGGACTGGCTTGTCTGATTGGTTGGCACTGACCATGGGCGAATTTCAGATGGGTGTGGGGGCACCTGCATTTGGCCTCCATAGCCGGGCAGTGGTGGCGCACGAGCCGGAGCCACACCACTATCAGTCTGAGGTGAAAGCATGGGTGGTGGTGGGGTCTGTTGTGTGGTCGGCCCAGAGTCGGTGAGGTCCCTGATTGGGGTGTGGTGCTGTAACCGCTGGCCAGTGAAACTGGGGAACTGGGTGACCAGCTTCGACTTCACTGATGACTGTTGGTCCACTGTACTGGTGCTAGCTGTTGCCCCTTCGTTCAAAAAGTGAGGCTGATCCCTCTTTGGAGTGTCTGCATAGTCCCTCATCATTTTTACTGTCCTGTATCTCTAATTTAGCTGCACAGGAAATTAAATGTGGGTTACTTGTAATAGGCTTCACTGGGAACAAGTACAATATATTTCTAGTAAAATAGAACACAACACAGATGTATGACAACTATCATCTCATAACGCAAAAAAAATAATAATAATAATTCACACAGAAAAACAGCGTCAAACTCAGAGTGCAGTTAAACAACTATATTCAGCCCCGAGGTTGTAAATGACACAAATTAGCAGCAAGTGCTTAACCATATTCAATGATTGTCATTATAGACAGGGAACATCATTTAACATCCTTGCTTCAATTCAAGTCTCTGAGTTTTTTTTTCTATGACAGAAAACCCTCAAGTAAAACCGCCCCAAGATTTCACTTTCAAAGGAGGTGAAAGTCCCAGTAATACAGCTGCATAGGCAGTTATAACATAGTTCAGTACCCCATCAGGTGGCAACACCTCTTACTGTAGCGACGTAGCTGGGAGGGTGACGGCCTTGGGTTCTCTTCGGTCTCGAGGGGCCACAAATCCGGGTCACGGCACCAAAGATGTAACCCAACCCGTGCAGGGGCCTCCCTACACCCCGGACTCTGCGTTGTGTAATTTTGTGTTGGATGGGGGTGCACAATAGAGAGACCAGTCGGACACAGGCGTTCAATTTGTGGCTCGGACCGCGCCGTCTTTTTATTTATTTAGATGATGGGGCAAACACCACTCCGACTCTGCTGCTGGCCTTTACAAATCACAGTAAACACTGAACCCAAAATGGCGCCCGCGCGGACGATAAAACTGAACTACGGTGTCCTGCGGAGGACAAATGGTCAAAATTGCTAAAATCTACAATGTATATCCAGCTCAACAGCGACACCTTGTGACTTATTCCAGTCACTGCCTTACAGTACCGATCACTCATTACACTTATTATGATCATTCGCCTCCAGCATTAGAGGAAGTGTGGTTGATTGCTATCTTGCTGTTAGCTTGTTGTTGTAGTTCTGAACGATTCATTAGAGGAAGTAAAACACCACAATTGGTTCATTATTCACCTCACACATACATTTCACTTAATATTGAGTTATTAGTAATTGAAAAAGTAGCTTGAGACTATTTGTTCTAATTCACCGTTATCATTGTTCGCTCAGCATTAGCTCAACATTAGCCTCTAGCCTTCTTCACCTGATGTTAGGGACAAGAAATAACTTCTGGGTTGCTCCTGTTTACGGTCTTCGGTTCATGAAAAATCTCGAGATGTCTGCCAGCCCGTGTTGAACTACAAATGTTGGTGCTGCTGTGTTAGCTCAACGCTAACTCGAGCTCACAGGTTGTAATTAGTAACTACTCCCCTCTCAGTCAGCTGAGAATACAATCTGTTACAATATAACCTTCCTTCCAACATGACTGAGACACTGTTAAGTGATTATTTCACTGTAAAATCCTTACATATTGCTCCTTTAAATATTAAACTCTGTGTCTTGTTTTAAAACTTTAAATTGTGACAATAGCAAGAAACTCAAATTAAACCTGAATGTAACTGTTCACTATAAAAATGAGTTTTCACTGTGCATGCATTTTTCATGGAGCCAAGCCAAAGGTTCCAGCTGTAAAACCAGGCTAGCCGTGCTTTTGTAGTTGCAGTCATGCTAAGCATTCACCTGAAATTAGGGACACTACCAGTGGGATTGCATTAGCATGGAGCATTATGTTTATCACTGAGTCAGATCTAGTGTGTTTAACAGTTCAGGTAGATGAAACGTGTTGTGTGCATCCAAATTTTCCACGCCCAGGCTTAGCTGTTCATGAAAGCTGCATGAAGTTCAGAAATCATCTCCATCTTCATTTAAATAAAAGAAATAAACTGAGTGGCTCAATCTGTTTTCTATTATGTTTAAATGCAAATGACATAATTCAATTAAATACGCAGAATATAAAATAAAATGACGATTTCTCACCAAACGCTGATCTAAAAGAAAGATTATCAATTGAAATAATGGAGAAAATGATTTTCCATCTGCCAGCTGGCGTAAATCACACAGACAAAAGGTGGAAAAGATACAGTCAATAAACCTAAACCAATTTTTATAGTCAAGACAAAGGGCACCTCTCAGAGTTAAAGAAGCTTTGGTCTCAGCTATGCTTCACTGCACTAGTAGTGCTGCACTAATTTGTCATCAAACCAGGGTTGTGACAACTGAGCAATTACTGCACCACGTTTTGTTTTGCCATCAGAACCAACAGGCAGGTGTGGCAGCTCAGACAGGAATTTGCACGCAAACACTGCAACAAAGCCACTTGGGGACATGCCATCAATCAGGGCCCACTGCACATGCTGATAAAACTACGGCTCACACACCATCATGACATCGTCAGGAGCTGACCTGCAGTGGGCCACAGCCTCGGCTGGGATGGTGCACACAGCTTGCAAGTTGCTCTTTCACAATAAATATGCACGCTATTTGTGTAAATGTATATGTGATGTAGTTATTAAAACATTATTTCTTTGAAAATTTCAATTAAATTTTAAGGTTTTACATGGACACAATAATATCAATCCAGTAGAAAGCACTAAGTATTTGTCTTTGTCATGTTAAGTTTATCTGCAAATGTTTTGTACAGGCTGATTGGTTCTTCTGACTGAGCTAAAAACCTTTGGTGCTCAGGTGTGTTTTATTGCAGGTTAAGTCATGACTGGTAAACTTTGCCTATTTATTTGACATTATGAGCTCAACAGTGTGCAACAGTCATAAAAAAGTTGGACATACCCAAAGCGCTGCACGTCTATGCACCACTGGGACATTATGGGATACTAACAAATGCAGCTCACTGGAAAAATAACCTCTGCCCTGTGAGGTTTCTGTGATTTAGCTTTTTATCTCCACTTTCTTGATGCTATGCACTATTGTAATGTTCTTATGTTGGTGTTCATGTGCAGTGTTTTTTTTAATACTCCTTCCGTCATCTGTCGCTTTAACATTGTGGATATCCTGTGAACATTTTAGCAATGTCGTATCTAAGAAACTTTACTTGGTCACTGTGGCAAAAAGGAGCATACGATGTTACATTTGGCCACCTAACAGTAAAGAGTTCAGTGGGGGGGGTCGAGCATCATACACTCTAATCTGCAGAATCCTGTTGTCATCACATCTTCAGCCATCCAGATTAAAAGTGGCAGACCTAGTAACAGACTTCTAATAGGTTGCACGTGGCATGGGAATGTGTGATCCACACCCTTTTCTGCTCATTAAGCAAAACCGCCTCAGACCTTTACGAGATGTAATTAAGGACGACAGCCTGGGGTTGAGGTAAGATACAATAAGTTGGTCACCAAAGGAATGAGTGAAGAGAAATGCCGGAAATGAAAGGGAAGCTGCTCTAAAGTCTGGATGTTCAGAGGCAGAGAGCACCACGGGGGACGTGGCTAGCCAGCTCAGAAAAAACCAATCAGAAAAAGGCGGAAATGATGACAGTATCGCACAACTCTAGTTTTTTTTAGCTGTAGTCAAAGATGGCATCTGGTGACATCTTTCGTTCGAAGAAAGGCTCTTAGCGCTCCTTCTTGTGGTTTTAAAGATGTATCCAAATCATTCAGAACAGAGGAAAGAGCTGCAGCAAACTCCCCTTCAGACGCCATCTTTGTTGTTTATGAGCAACTGAGCGTTGCGATGTGTGACGTACAGTGCTCAGCGCTGATTGGCTCAGTTAGAATTCTCAGGGGGTGGGGTTAATTGAATGGGAGCGTTGCCAGGCCCTTTACTTCCCATAAGTAAGGATTGACATGGCTGGCCAGGCTAAATGAATGTAACGCTTTGGAATAAATAAGATTTTTTTATTTATATAAAACCAAAATCGCAACAAGAGTTGTCTCAGTGCACTTAAGAAAGTAAACATTCCAACTGAACCTACTAATCAGTGCAGTGGGATGAGTTCATTAAGCCAATTAGATAAACGTTTCCCAACAAAGAAAACTCAGCAGATTGCATCGACTGGACTTGTAATAAGGATTCTGTTCTTCAACAGTGGTGTGAACTTAGGCATGTCAGGTGCCTGTGCGCCAAGGAACATTCAGCTCCCTGATCTTTGAATCTCTGCTTTTCTTTGGTGTGCACCTGACAGAGCTTTAGAAAGAATAATCGTAAATTCCACTTCAACACCGAGCTCCCTGTGTGTGTGTGTGTGTGTGTGTGTGTGTGTGTGTGTGTGTGTGTGTGTGTGTGTGTGTGTGTGTGTGTGTGTGTGTGTGTGTGTGTTTGTGTTTTAAACATTGTATGAGCAAAGAAAAAGCAGAAGAGGTAGATTTTGAATAAAAACAAAAGTTTGCACAAGCACTCAAGAGCAGGAGAGAAAAAAAACAAACTAAAGCTCAGGAAGTGACAGGGTCAGCATGTGGGTGGAGGAGTCTGTTTCTTGTGTCCTAAGGTGAGGCCAGCTCAATCCCACACACCCACCAGCCTAAGAGTTCACATAGAAGTGGTGTTTACCTCCTTGAGGCAACCCATGAAGTTGTTGCTAACTGGAGATCCGGGCAGGTCAGCTGTGCTAGGGCTCCCTCCAACATAGAAAAAGTCATCAGAGCCTAGCATGGTGTAGTCTTCTTGTGTATACCCTGTGGTGGTCAGAATCCCATCCACGGATATCGTTACCTGGGCAACAAAGCACATGGAAAGGACACGCTATACTGAGACAGCCTACTTACTTTGCTGCTACTCCCCTTCTCTGTCTTTTCGTCTATAACAGACTTTCCCCATACGTATATCTTCTCAAACCCATTTTCATGTCTGTTTTAGTGTCTTTTTTCTTGTTATTTTTGTTGATATTTTTATTTTGACCAGTTTGATTAGTTGGAAGACAGCAAGCCTTCCATAGAACACCATTCTGGTTAGAGAGTTAGTAAACTGCCCATACTACAGTGTTAGTATTGCCTCCACTGCAACTCAAACGTTATTTAGCAGACACAAAAATGGTGTTAGTAAAGTGTTATCTAGGTTAGTTTAACTACCATTTCATATTAGCACATGTAGTCGTTCTACAAATGAAATCACATCGTGCCACTAGGTTAGAGAGGGAGCGCATGCTATAAGAAGCACAATCACCGCTTCAAAGACAATGATTTGGGATCTTTTTTTAAGAAAGCATGCATGTATTTGTCTTTTCTTTTTGTTTACATGTAATCAAAAAGAATATTCTTGATTTGGATACAGAATCCACATTGTAATGCAAGCCAGATACATGCAAAGGCTCTTGGAGGAGTTCATGGATGCCAAAGAAAAGCACAGACGGAATTTCAAATAAACAGAAAACAATCACAAACACAGCTCAACTGCCGCATTCATGTTGGCAAATGGGAAGGTCAACATTTGCAGCATGTAGGGCAAAGAGCACGCCATGCAACGTGGATGGGGAAACAGCTGGCTGAGCTACAGAGCACAAGACCAGCCAGAAAAGAGAACGTCCTCATTATTAACCACAGCCTGATGCAAATGGCTCGAAATGATGCTCCTAAAAAAGTGGATCAAACAGAATTGGACAGAAAACAGATGAAGTAAGAGGGAAGTGAAACCAACGAATGAACCAAGAAGTTTAAAGAAAAAAAGATTTGAAAGGTAAGCAGAAGAGTACCAACCGCAGTCTCCCTTAATTTGTTCATGACGTCTACGATAAAAATAAAAATAATAAAAAAGGAAAGAAAAGAACACACGGCAAACCCAAACTAAGAAACAATTAGAATGATATCTACCGAACAATGTAGTTTGTTTACCATAGCGTGTCCAATGCCTGAGTGCTTTGTGGAAAAGGGGGGAGAAAGGAAATTAAAAACTGTGAACAGAATAACGATTGTTACTCAAATAATATGATGGTCAATACTGTTAGTACACTGTTAAACGACAAAAACCATACTGGTTAGTAGAATGACACATTCCATGGATGATGTTAGTTTGTTTCCAAAGCATGTTAGTAACATAGAGAATAAAAGGGCAAAATAAGTTCAACAAGAAAAAAGCAGACCAAGGAAAGTAGCAAGAACGCTCCACTGGGGGAGCTACAGCTCAACCAGTGACTCCCTGAGTTTCTCGTGGTAATTTTGCACCATTTTCTGTGTGTGCCAAGACAGGTAAGTAGCAGAAAGAAACGGTTTACCAAAGACCTGCAAAACCATTATGATTGACAGACACCAAATGGCTTGTAAGGAGAAAAAAATGCCTAAAGCGCATCACTTGACCCTCCATAAAACATCCTAATATCAACAATGTTGTAGTTCTTTTAATGTCTTTCTACAGGTATTTGTGTTGTTTGTTGAGGTTTTTAGTCTTCAGCACTCAGCCAATCCACTGGATCAGACTTCTTGCACTCGTACAATACATTACCTCTTATTTGGTCTTATTGATGAACTTTAGGATCACTTTACTGCAATGAGACAAAGCAAAGAGCACCTGACAAGAAATGAGGAGGATGGTCATTCTGATCCCTCCGGGAGAGCATGCACTCAGTATGCTTGGCTTTTTCTCTGAATCTGAATGCGGAGAATGTTCAAGCTGGACAAATTTATTTGGTATGCCAATAATCGATTCACTGAATATGCAGAAGGAGCAGCTTTGGTGCGGGGGTGAAGATCAACATTTCTCAGCAAAAGAGCAGGGACACACCTGAAGATGTTTTACTCTCCTGGAGGCTTAAACTACTCAGCTTTATATCATCGGAAATGAAACACGTGACAACACAGGCTTAAGTGGTATTTCAGTTTGTACATTATGATGACTGGTTTATTTAAATGTAATGTCGTGATTTGCACCAATTTCTTTAATTGTGTTGCCTTTATGTGTCCAAAAACCATCAATTTCTGCATCTTTGATGAGGACAGAATTCATCCCAAGCTTGATGATGCTTAATTTTTTTTACTAGTTGACTCAGAATCAAATTTGATGGAAATCCTGCAATTGCTCTTTTCCAGCAGAATTAAATTCCCAATTGAAATGGTAGAAAATCCAGCTACAGAGTCATTGAAGCCAGGTCAAAACCAATTCTGACATGTCAGTGCACTGATAGTCGCAGCCATCTTGTGACTCAAAGCATTTGATGACTGTTGTAGTCGATTGCTGGTATGTTTTGGTTTACCCCACGGGACCCATGCAGCCCTGATTTGTGCCCCTGAGGTCATACTCTCGATGCATAGCAAGAAGTCTAAATGGTCTTCCAGCCGAGGCTAATGAGGCCCCTAGATTATTGAAGGAAATCAGATGACCTGTTCAAATAACCTTATTGAAATTTAGGAACATTGGAAATGCGTGGGTTTTCTCCAAGCTCACAGATTTCCTCCCACATTTCAAAAATGGGCTCAATGCAACAGTGTGTGTGTGTGTGTGTGTGTGTGTGTGTGTGTGTGTGTGTGTGTGTGTGTGTGTGTATGTGTGTGTGTGTGTGTGGGTGGTTGTACATATCTATGTGTGGTCCCGTTTCTCAAAATGCATACTTGTCTGAACTTGTGTGTGCACATACTTGTGAACTGTCATCAATGTTGGCCCAAGTACTGTTCCAATCCTAAGTGTGTATGGTGGGAAGCACGCTCAAAGAGCTCGGACACATTATCAAGCAGCTATAGAAAATGAACAGATCAAAGGGTTTTAAGGTTTTGGCAACAATTTAGTCAACAGGAACTTGATATTTCATTGGTTAGTGATGGGACAAGCAAAGCCGTGAGGGGGTGGGGGCGACGTACCCCTCCGATGTTCGTGACAGTGCTCAGAGGAGGAGGGGGGCTGCTGGAGGACAAGATGAGCAGTTCGCTAAAGGGATTCGGCTCTCGTCGTTCACTTTGAAAACCTGCTCAAAAGACTTGACAGGTTTGTGAACGTCACATCACTAACTTGCATCGAGCAGAGCCTCATTTTAATAAAATATGCTGCAAACGTTCATCTCAATAATATTTTCCTATCTTCAGTTTGGTCATGGGTGGGGCTGGGCAGGCTGGTGACTGATGGTTGCACACAGACCTAATTTAGCTCTGGTTTTTGATGCCTTAGGCAGATTCCTGTTTTAAGCCACCTGGGGAATTGTACACTCATGAGCAACGCTACCAGAGATTCTCAGTTTATTACCTTCCAGCACTTTATTGACTTCAGGTATGACTGAGTTCTGCTGACAAGCCTGTTCAGTTCACATATCTTACTGCCGAACTGCAACAGTTCTACCACCTAAAAGTGTGTGGTTTCCCACTTTCACTGCTGTGAAGGATTTATTAAACAGGATGTCAGTATTTAATATCATGAAATGTAGAGTCCTTAAATCCTGTTAGAAGAATCATTGGTGCTAAAAAAATCTGTTTGGTTTCAATTTGAACTTTGTCTGAAAACATGTAACCTAGCTGATTTTTCAATGGTAATACTACGATATACTCTCTAAAGACATCACTTAATCACATTTGTGTTAAAAACATCAAAATGTTTGTAATAGTAGAAAAATGAACCAGATTACTAGAGATATCTTTTTTCCCTTAAACCCTGACAAATGCTGCTTTCTAGGGTCTTTACATCAATAAAAGACTACAATGTATGTTTTTTTTTAATTTAAAATCTTTAAATGTTTTCATTCTACCCTCGAAATCTAACCTAATTGATGTCCCAATGTCCCTGATCTTTTGTGGTGCTGTTTCAGTCTTCCCCCCAGAACCACGATGATTCAATTTAGCAATCCAATTACATCTTAGGAAAAAATGTCATGATCATGATCATCATGATTTAAGAGCATCTCCTTGAATTAGTTTAGTGAGTCTCTTCATCACCATTTGTACTGTTACCTGACGTAGATTCCTTGTAACTTTGACATCGTGCCAATCATTGTCATTAAATTTCCCATTGACTGGCTCCACAAGAGCTTCAAAGGCGCCAGACCCCAAATTAATGACGAGTGAGACAGCCCCATTTTTCAGCGCCAGGTTGACGTAATCAGCTGATTTTCCCGTGTGCAGCATCAGTCCATTCCTCTGAAGAGTTTTGAAAGACAACGTGATTTCATCGCTGCTGCTTTGAATTGGGTTCAAGGACAAGTCGTAGCAGAAGAACTCGGATCCTTTGAAGGTTGCCACGTATTCTTCCTTTCCTGCAGACACAAGAGAAAGAGAAATGCGTTCCATTATTGTTGTGGCCTCTTGGGGGCATATTGGCAAGCTGTCTGGAAAAAAGGGAAAGGATGCCTTGAATTGTTGTACTAATAAACATACTGAAATTGGAGAGCTGGGGCCTGTAAACGAAGCAGGATTAGTGTCTTAGGGAGGTATCACCAGGTTCAACTCTGGGTTTTTGCTTAATCATGTCTTCGTAATAGGGCACATTGCTATGGAAGCTTAGTCTAATCAAATTCACCATACAACTAAAACACGATTTATTAATCATCTTATTATTCCGGTCACAAAAAAATTAATAAAGCTACAGTTGTAATTGTTTTTTTTTTTCATTTCTTGTTTAGTGAGAAAAGAACAACTTTCACCAGAGTCAATTAAAAATATATAAATAAAAATTGCTTAATGATTTTACTCTTTTGTGGCATCGATAATAATAAAACTGTTTAATAACTATTTTGCACATTGAAAATAATTATGATGATGTTTGATTGATGACAAAAACACATATTAACTTGGAAGAACACATTTGTTACAGTTGGAAAACGGGGGGTTGATTTTCAAACCATTGTGTATCTTAAATCTGCTTTGTCATTCATTTTGAATTTAAAAAGAAAAGTGTACGTGTATTTCTAGACTGCATGCATTTTCAAAAAGTCCCTTTTCAAACCAAAACAGCACAGATATGTAGGTTAAAGCAGGACTGAAAAATTCAAAACAACAGTGTTAACAACAGAAAAAAGTGTACGATTTAAACATTTCTGTGGGGTGGGGTGGGGTGGGGGGGGGGATTCGAGCTAAAGCATGTGCTTCATCAAAGATGTGAAATAAGAGCTATTTTAACAATAACGGATCATGAACACAGATTCAGGTGTGATTTTTATTATAAACAAAAAAGGTGGGACAAGTTCAAATGTGACTGGACTGAAAGAAGAGATTTCTATGAGAACAATGATGCACAATCACAATAAAGGAGCAGGGGCAGCGTGCATCTACATGTCTTTTATTAGCTTAAACCAACTAAAGCATTGAAGCAACAAAATAATAATAATAAAAAAAAAAGGATTCAAAACAAAACCACTAAAAATGAACCACTAACTCCAACTTCTTGTGTGTACTATTACTAAATAGTTTTAATTTTCTGTGAAACGTCATCTTTAAAATCATCGTGAGTTATCAGAGACACATTTTCCCATTATCCAGCAGACTGCATCGATTCACTGCCTTTACAGGAATCCCCATTTTCAGAAGTAATGCATTAAATAGGGGTAGGAGACTTTCATGTCCACCCTGCGTGTTAAACTCAGAGTGACTGATCATTTAAAAAAATAATAAGTAAAAAATGGTTTCACAGTGAACCTAGTCCCCCAGCAGAACGAGGGAGTCACCGGAAGAATTGCTCTCCAGCACCCCCTCCAAGAAATCCAACAAGAGTGGGTAGTCTGACCTCCAGTCTGGTGCATAAGCACAGACCACAGTCAGGACCCCCCCCCCCCTCCCCCCCCCCCCCCCCCCCCACACACACAGGTGGAGGGAGGCTACCCTCTTGCTCACCGAGGTAAGCCCCAATGCACAGGCACCAAAGATGAGGGACAACAAGTATGCCCCCCCCCCCCCCCCCCCCCCCCCCCGCGCCTCTCAGTGGGGACATCTCTAAAGTGGTAGAGTGTCCAACCCCTCTCAAGGAAACTGGAAACCCGACGGAAGCCTCTCCACAGTGCAAGACACATTAAAGCCCATATGGAGTTTGCTAAAAGACACCTAAAGGACCCAGAGATGGTGAAAAATAAGATTCTCTGGTCTGATGAGACCATAAACTTTTTAGCCTTAATTCTAAAACCAGGCACTGCTCATCACTTGTTCAATACAGTCCCTACAGTAAAGCATGGCGGTGGCAACATCATGCTGTGGGGGGTTTAGCTGCAGGGACAGGACGACTGGTTGCAGTTGGCTAAGTACAAGGACATCCTGGACAAGAACCTTCTGCTCAGGACCTCAGACTGGGCCGAAGGTTTACCTTCCAACATGACAATGACCATAAGCACACAGCTAAAATAATGAAGGATTGGCTTCACAGCAATTCTGTGACTTTCTTGAATAGGCCAACCAGAGCCCTGACTTAAACCCAATTGAAAATCACCGGAGAGACCTAAAAATGTCTGTCCACCAACGTTCACCATCCGACCTGGAAGAAATGGAGAGGATCTGCAAGGAGGAATGGTAGAGGATCTCAAATCCAGGTGTAAGAAACTTGTTGCATCTTTACCAAGAAGACTCATGGATGTATTAGCTCAAAAGGGTGCTTCGACTAAATACTGAGTAAAGGGTCTAAATACTTAGAACCATGTGATATTTAAGTTTTTCTATTTTTAATAAATCTGCAGATTTCTAAGTCTGTCTGTCAACACGGGGTGCTGTGTGTGCAATAATGAGGGAAAAATTAATTACACTGATTTTAGCAAATGTCTGGGTGAAAAACTGACGGGGGGTCCAACAGCTTTCTGTACTCACTGTATTTTGTATTGATGCTTTTTAAATTAGATATGTCAATTCAAACATTTAAAGAGCAATTCACCCCCGTATTTACTTTTTTCTGATAAACCATATAAATGTGTGTATAATTGTGCTGCAGACAGGTGTAGTCAATAGTTTGGCACTTTAGTGGAATTTAGTTAAAATTTAAATTTTCTGCCTAAAACTGTCAGTGTTGTGCCGTTGTCAGGTAAAAAAAAACTGCACTGCATTTGAATTTAAATCTGCCATCGCTATTGGCTAAGAGGTACCCTAGAACATTAGCTGGTACCATATGATGTCACAATGTCATAAGCCTGTGCGTGTGTGTATTTGTTAGTGGCTCCGCCCTCTCGGTCTGCTAGGCAACAGCATTTGTTGCATTTTTCAAACAGGATGTGGGAGTGGAGTAAGAATCTGGTAGGGGGTGACTTGCAAAAATGCACAACTGAAATAAATTATTTTCATCAAAATTTACTGCTATATATGTTTTTTCAGCCACTTCAAGTTTCCGCCCTCCTGGCAATAAAAAACACTTTACCATTCATTCAATTTTATTATAATAAATATGAGCAAGTTGGTGCTTTTCAAATATCAGCCATTCAAAACTATGACAAGAACTTGACAAAAATTGCCTTTAAAAAATGTCACCTACACTGTGACATGTAAACAATACCAAATGGCTTTAGGCATCAGTGGGCGATGCATGTGAGCAACCATTACAGGGCATTTAAAAACACGTTTATACAAATCACAAGCCATTAAAGTCACAAGCAGAAAATAAACTACCGAAACACAAATGGACCAAAGCATTCAATTATCATAGATGAGGCTGTTCTTTTAAGTATCCATGCCAAACAAACGCACACAAACATGCTCAGAGGAGCATCCAGGCACGGATGCTACAATGTAAGAAATAAAAGGGGTTGCTGTCCACAACAATTTGTCACCTCATTGATTTTCCCTTAAAGGAGCTATAGTGCACCTCTGGGAAAACTACAAGGGGCCCGTAATTGAAGCTGACTGGATCTGACCACTCTTTGGTCATTCCCTCTGTGTCTGAGCCCCCTATAAGTGAAAATGAGAGAACTCTACCCTCTACACAAAACCCACACATCACAGTGACCACAAAACAAATAGAGCCAATAGTTTAGGGTCATTCCCATCTCTCCCCACACAACCCCATGCCTGCAAATGACTGTTAATTCCCCTAACCAAAGGAGAATAAATTGTGAGAATATGGCTAAGGAAATGTTGGGTATTTACAACATTTGGGGCTGAGCCAAGAGGAAGGCTCATGTTTTTAAAGATGCTCGCATCTTCCACTAAATACATTGTAGAACTTTGAAATGTTGATTGCTCTGAAGATCTCTGATAACGATTTTATGTAAAAATGAGGAATCACCATGTGCTCAAACTTATTGGTACAATTTATGTCAAATCAAATTCTCATAAAGTGGGCATACACTGATTTTTATACATTTGCTGTGGTCTCTAGTATATAAATGATTTTTGTGGGTCGTTTTCTGTGAGAAAAAATTTGAGCTCTTCTTTCAGGAAGTAGAAGTTAGCCAGAGGAGTTGAGGCAGAAAGCGGTGGGGTTTGGAGACTAAGGCCCAATACCAATACTCGCACTTCAATTGCACGATCCCAACCAGGGGTGTGAGTGTGTAGGGAGTCCCGATTCTCAAGTGCGGAATTTGATCACACCCCTTTTGCACCCTTGATCCGCACTTGACCCAATTCTGCATCAATGCAGACTTGGGTGAAGTGTTTTACCCACAATCCATTGCTGTGGGAGAAAAGATTCAAGTTCTTTTTTTGAAAATATGTATTTCTAATTAAATTTGGTAGTTTTAGGACAATTAGTTGATAATCTGAATGTTTTAGACAAAGCAGCAATGAATTTAAATTTAATTCAAATTACTGGTTGTTTGTTTGAAAGCTGCACTTACCTTAAGACCGCAGGGCGAGTATTGGGATTGGGCCTTACTCATTAATGATATTCAAACACCTCACCTCTGACTGGCTAACAGCAATGCAACTCTTTCACTGCTTCCATTCTCTTCACAACTCTGGTGTTTTATCACCACAAATGACACATGCCTGAAAGAGTTCTGTCATGTCATGGAGTTGCTAATGCAAACAGTTAGCTTCTACTAGCCAAGCTACACTCTGCTCGCTTGGCTGCAAACATCAGCATAGCCTTCAGCGGCCGAGAGCCAAGATGAGTGAAAGCATGAATATTAAATTACATCATGACATAGAGCAGTGGTTTCTTCTGACGAGGGTTTCCTCTTCTATTTTCATTCAGCGGCTAATGCCGGAAAAAAGGAAACAGACTCTTTTCACATTCTGCATGTATGTAAAACTCAGAGTGGCATATCGTGTTTCAATAAGAACAAGTGTTTCTCAAGTAACCTCACCTTCAATACAATATCAGCAACTATCTTTCATAAATTCCCATGAG